CTGAGAATTGTATCTGAATCTTCTGGAAGAGCAAGTGCTCCACTAGTCCTTCATTTATTTTCTTGAGTTTTGTTTTTTGTGTATTTCAGATATTCTGGATATTAATCTACTGTCAGATGTGTAACTGGCAAAGGTTCTCTCGTCCTCTATAGATCACCTCTTCACTCAAGTGATTATTTCCTTAGCTGTACCAAAGCTTTTAAGTTTTATGAAGTCCTATTTGTTCATTGTTGTGCTTGATTACTGGGCAAATGGAGTTCTCTTCAGAAGGTCCTCAAAGAGCAACTTTAATTAGTAAAAATAAGATAAGGTAGAACATGGTTGATGATGATTCATGACATTAATATTTGGCCTACACAAACTAGCATACATATAAACACACAGACACTATCATACATATAAACACACACTTACTATACATACATATAAACACACAGAAACTATTCATACATATAAACACAAACTCACTATGCATACATATAAACACACAGCCACTATGCATATCTATCTATCTATCTATCTATCTATCTATCTATCTATCTATCTATATACATAGACACAATCATACATGTAAACATACACATTCACTATGCATACATATAAACACACAGACACTATCATACCTAAATACACACACACAGACACAAATAAACACTGACAAGAAAAAGGTTTTTAAACCAGAGGGGATTAAAAAAATGTGACACCCAAATAAAATGTGGTATCTAGACAGAATCAAGATAAAAGAATGGAGCCGGGCGGTGGTGGCGCACGCCTTTAATCTCAGCACTCAGGAGGCAGAGGCAGGCGGATCTCTGTGAGTTCGAGGCCAGCCTGGTCTACAGAGCTAGTTCCAGGACAGGAACCAAAAAGCTACAGAGAAACCCTGTCTCGAAAACCCAAAAAAAAAAAAAAAGATAAAAGAATGGTAGAATACTGGTAATGCTAACAGCTTAGATGGGAAACTATCAAAGAGATTTCTTAAAATTTGTGATAAGGGTGCTGAAGTGTAGCTATCCACAGTTGATGGCTTCTGGAGGAAGTGCATGTAGGGAAAGACTCAGTTTTCTTTAAGGTGCTGGCCACTTAAAGTTTGACCATGCTCCAGTGAGTATATGAGCAACACTAATTGGAATTTTTACACCTCCTTTTTTTTTAAGGGGTCAGAGGTAACAAAATTGTGTGTGTGTGTGTGTGTGTGTGTGTGTGTGTGTGCAAGGACTAAGAAGTAAGTGTGATTGGGGTACATGATGTGAAATTACCAAGTAATCTGTTGGCATACAAAAGGTTCCACAATAATGGAAACTTTTTACTCCCCAAATGGAGTAAAACAAAGGTTTATTTATCTGGGGATAAACTCACAGAAAGAATAGATATCTGCAGTCCTCTGCATGTGCTGGGGACTGGAACTGAATTCAGCAGCTAAGAGACCCACACATGCTTTTCATCTGCATTCATAATACACGAGACCATGCCCAGAGTGGGCTGGTATCTTAAATGCTATTAGCTGAAGGATTTCCCACAGCAATAATCAATAAAATTATTATATTGTAAAATAGAACCTGTAGTTTAGCAAATAATGTGTTACTAATGTTAGCTTCATTCTTTCTTTTAAAAGATTTTATTATTTTATTATCTGTATTATGTATGCATGCACACATGTATGCAGGTATCTGTAATGGCCAAAAGGAGGACATCAGACCCTCTTGAGCCCCTAGAGCTAGAGTTACAGGAAGTTGTGAGCCACCTGATGTGGGTGCTGGGATTTGAGTGCTGGTTCTCTGTAATAGCAGCAAGAGCTCTTAAGCTGAGTCATGTCTCCAGCCTGAATGTTCAGTTCTTAATACTATGGCTATACAAATTTCTAATATTATGGGAAATGATTGGTCAATATGTAGCAACCTAACCTATTATTTTTCCAATGATTCTATAAACCTTAAATTTTGAATTCTCTCTCTCTCTCTCTCTCTCTCTCTCTCTCTCTCTCTCTCTCTCTGGAAAACCTGTGGGAATTGTTACTTTCTTCCATGTGGGTTTTGAGGATTTAACTCAGGTCATCAGACTTGGTGGCAAACACCCTTGCTTTCTAAGACATCTCACTATTCTGATTATATAAACCTAAAATTATTTCCAAATAAAATGTAAAATCATATTATGAAATAAGAAGTTTAATTAAGCTTCTTTGCCCAATTTACTCAGGAGATCTTGTCTTTTTCTACTTCCCATGTAGATTAGATCCATTTATGTCTCTCTTAGGGTCCTCACTGTTGTCTAGGTTCTCTGGGATTGTGATTTATAGGCTGGTTTTCTTTGCTTTATGTTTAAAAGCCACTTATGAGTGAGTACATTTGATAGTTGTCTTTCTGGGTCTCGGTTACCTCACTCAAAATGATGTTTTCTAGATCCATCTATTTGCTGCAATGTACATATTTCTATATGCAGCCTGTAAGATGTCTCCCTGCAATTTCCTTACGTTTGCAGAAAGTAAAAAGTAGATAATCACCAAGGCATGGCGACCCATACTCATAACTCTCACGCTGGCAAGGCAGAGGCAGGGGGATTTCCACAAGTTTGATGCCAGCCAGGTCTGTGTTGCGGGAGGTCACCAATTCGGGGTTATGATTATTAGGGTGGTATTTATTTAAAGGGGAAAAAACTTACAGATCACTGTCCCAGGCAACAGCCCTCTTCGCAACCAGGAAAGGAGTCTAGTCGCAGGTGGAGCAGGAAGTGAAGAGAGAGAGAAGAGGGAAGTGGCCGCTTTTTTAAAGGGAGAAAAACCACGCCCCAGTGGGCTGGTACCTCAGCGGTGATAGGCTGGAGGAGTGGGAGGACCTCCCGCAACACGTCTACATAATGAAACTCTATCTCAAAAAAAGATGGGGATAGGGGAAAGAAATCAAATTCTCTTGCTCATATAGGCAAGAAAATAGAGTATATTTGCAGTGCAATAAATTATAATAGCCAAGATTATTACATTGCTAATGTGTGTCAGAAAGGTTAAGTAGTCTACATATAGCCAATGCCAATGTTCTTTTTTTTAAAATATTTATTTATTTATTATGCATACAATATTCTGTCTGTGTGTATGCTTGAAGGCCAGAAGGGGGCACCAGACCTCATTACAGATGGTTGTGAGCCACCATGTGGTTGCTGGGAATTGAACTCAGGACCTTTGGAAGAGCAGGCAATGCTCTTAACCACAGAGCCATCTCTCCAGCCCAATGTCAATGTTCTTTACAGTTTTGTCGGGAAGTTGAAGTAGACATAGTGTTTACACTCGACTGCTCGTGATAGTGTGGGGAAGAGATCAGAACTGGGGGAGAAAATGAAAAGAAATAGAAACTGCAGAAGGAGTATGAGGGAGGCGATTACATTTCTGAATGGGTCATGTGTGTACCATAGTGTTTTCTTTGGTTTACTAAAGAAACATGATTTGTTGAAAGGCAAAGACATTGAATGTTATAAAGACTGAGATTTGATCCCCATGAGAGTGTAAGTTGGCAATGCTCATCAGGTTTTGTGGTAGCACTTGCTGAGAATAGTGAAGGTTCGCGAGCATTTCTTTTTTTCAGACAGAATAACCAGTTTCAGATGGTCTGGTGAGACATTCCTTTGAAGAGTAAATAAGGCAGTTATAGTGTGTGGGGAAGACGGGGCGTGGACTTGGCAAAATGGTTGGTAATTAACTGGGTGAAGCTTGCTGACACAAAGTCTGATTTGAGTGGTGATACAGACGTGTCTGGTACTTATTATAGTATAGGGGGTTTCCTTGGTGGACACTGCACAAGTGGAAGCGGGTGAGAAGAGACGGAATTATTAAACAGTCTCACATAGCTGGTCAGACATGCACAGTGCTCCCAGAACACACAAAACTCCTGCCGGGAGTCCTGAGGGCATTGCTGCAGTCACACATCCTCATCGTTCCCACTCGCAGATAAGCATCAAGCATTGGTCCATCCTTCATCAAGACAAGAGTGCTTGTCTATACATTTCACTTCATATGGGTGGGAGGAAGTAAAGTTCCCTTTGGACGCAAGTCTTTTCCGTGTTTGCTGAATTCCTTTACCTTAGAAGCCCAGATCATGTTTGTTACTTCCATCTGATATCCCACGGGCAAGGACTGATTAAACTGGAATTGTCCTGTAAGGGGAGGGCTTGTAAGTCGGTCAGATATTTCACATGGGTGAACGTCATTCTGAAACACTAGCACTTTCTTTTCTTACCAAGCACCCTGCTTCTGTCACCATAGGTGCTTATGTTGGAGCACTGGAGAAGGATACAGGGAAAAAAGTAAAATCTTTGCACCAATTCCAGTTTCGGGGCTGGGAGAAGGAGAAAAACCAAACCAAACCAAACCAAACTGAAACAACCCAAAACAAAGTAATAGGAAACTCCAAATTTACCTTATGTCCACACAGGTAAAGATTTCAAATATAAAATTTCTTTAGCTATGTCAGGAAATTGACGAATAAGTGTAGGTAATCAACAAAGTGTTTTAAAATGTAATTACTAAAGTTGTTTGAGAAAATAGTCATCCAAGAGTACAGAGCAGTAGCAGATAAGCCATGGGGTTTGGATCACTAATTCTATTTCTTGTACTTTTAAGAGCTGATTTTTATTTACTCCTGCTTTATGAAACAGTCACGATAATTAACCCGTAGCTCTAGGGTTCAGCGTTTGCTGTGCGGCAACAGCTTAGAAAGCATTGCAGGCTCCAGGAGGGCTTGCGGAGACGTTGGCAGAAAGATGAAATTTCAGCAGCCAGGCAAAACGCACCTGCCTTTAATGTAGCCCTGGGGAGGCAGAGGCAGCTTTAGTGTAGCCCTGTGCCGTGAGAAAGCCCTTTTCAGGGAATGTGTGGAGAGGGATAGAGCAGGGTACCCGATGCTCTTCTCTGGCTATCTTGTGGATACATGATAAGCATACACCTCACCTGCATATACAGAAACAGAATAATCAAGAAAGATTTAAAAATTTAGTGCATATGCTTTATAGCAGCGCTATGACATTTTAGTTTCCGGATGGAAACTCACACAAGTGCAGATCGTATCAGTTACTTTCTCATTGCCGTGGCAGTTACCTACAGAAGCAGCGGACAGGAGAAGCTTGTTTTGATCGTGGTTCAAAGCGGTGCAGTTTCTCATGGCTGCTGAAGTAGGAACGTGGAGCTGGTCACACTTGAATAGCTTAGGAAACAGGATTAGACTGGCAGCAGAGATGGCCCAGCATTCTCTGGACCAGCACACACAGGGCCCAGCATCCTCTATGGGTCTTATGTCTAGACCTCCCAAAACAGCACCACTAGCTGGGGAGTAAGTATTCACGTGTGTGTGTGTGTGTGTGTGTGTGTGTGTGTGTGTGTGTGTGGATAGTCCACATATAAGCATAATATAAAGAAAGAATAATATAACGTTTTGGCATCTAGTCTATATACACATGTGTGCACACACAAGCACACCACACTTAACAAGTTTTTCCATATGAATTTTTTTTTACTACATTTTATTTTTCTCTGTGTGTACATACACGTGTGAGCCCACACATACCATGGCATGTATGTGGAAACCATAGAACAGTTTCTGGAGTCTGTTTTCCTTCCACCATGTATGACCCAGGGACTGAACTCATGCCGTCAAGACTGGCAGCTGAGCCTTCCCAGCAGCCCCTCCAATTCTTATTTGTTTCCTTTAGGCTAGGATGGGACTGTTAATACTCAATCTGTGATTAGTATTTATTTTTATGAAATAATCACTTCTTATTTGTCATAGGGTGGAGTCAAGTACCACGTGGGGAGGTTCTTTATCAGAATTCGTCACCAACTCTCAGATAGGACAGTAGAAGTTGAGTTTCAGAGAACAATCAGGTATTGGGACCAGCAATCTCACTGAGCACCATATACCCACTCTATCAATAGGAAGGCAAAATTCCATGAAGAAAAATGAGAACAGAAACTGATCCGTATAAAAATCTGTATGAAGTAAAGATAAGTAAATTATATTTTACTCTAAACAACTGAGAATACATTCAAGAAATTGAAAGCAAACCTTAAAAAATATGGTTGAAAACCGTAAGCTATAAATTTGGCATAGCACATTGCAACAGGAGTAATATAAAATCTTTAGAATAAAAAAATGCTAATAAAATGATGAGAAAAATAGGAGTAATGGATAAGCACAGTCTTCTGAACATGGCTCCCTACACCTTAGGTTGATCTCTTTGGCCAAGTCTGCCAGTGTGTCCCTGAGAGAAAACCTGCATGTTGTTGCTGGGGCACTGGCTTCTCCCACACGTCACCCTTAATCACCTTTCGTCTCCACTTGCTGTATGAATGGCTGTCGGATTTGAGACTTAATTCTTTGCAGGTATTGCTTGGTCTCTTAGCTCTACTTAATGAACCGCTTGTAGTTTTGCTGCCTACACCACCAGAGGGCGGAGATTCCTAGCAAATCATAGCATTTGCAAATGTGAGGCAATTATTTTTAAAATACTAACCATTGTTGGTTTTGTATGTGTTTTAAACATAACAATCCTGGAGAACACAGGTCTAAATTTAAGGAAAAAATAACCAGGGGTTAAACTTCAACTTAAACACATTTGTGAAAACCATTAAACTTTAATAGGATAAATTTAAAAATCATGAATCACTAACAAGATATTTTATGTCTGTGGGTAGAGCTCATCATGTCAAGATGTCAGTTTTCCCCAATCTGATCTGCAAATTCAATTCCATCTCATCTAGAACCCAGCAAAATATTCTTTACATCAACCTAAAAATCAATATATATAACATACAACACTAGGTGTGAGCCCTAATGTAAAATATCTGATCCAGCTAGTAGCAATGTATCAGTACTGGATCATCAGTTGCAAAAAAGGGACCACATTAAGAGGCTGATGATAGGATTAACTGTGTAAGAAGAGGAAAAAAGGAACTGAAAAATGTCTACATTCTCTTCCACTTTTCTGTAAATTCACAAATGTTGAAAATCTTTTAGTTTTTTAAATATAGCACTCCCCATCTGCATGTTGCTATTAAGAACTTGAAATATGGCTTAAATGGGAACATATATTAGAATATATATTAGATTTCAGAGACTTAGTAGCATCAAAAAAGGTAAATGAACCATCAAAAACTTTATGTTGAATTTTATCAAATTGTATTTTGGTTATCTTGAATAAAAAGATTTTTAGTGGCATGAAATTTCATCTGCTTGTTTTTACCTTTTCCATGTGGCTACTAGAAAATTTTAAATTCTGTAGGAGGCTGGAGTTGTATTTTATTAATAGCTATCTTTTGGACTTCTATATCTGCTACCTTATTCAAGCTTTGATGGCTAAATTATAATTAGAAGTAAATTAAGACTCAAGTTCTACAGATGCTTTATATTTCCCACACCCTCAGCGTACACCATTTCCCTTTGTTTGGTGCTCAGCCCCTCAAGGCCTTGAGATGATGCTAGGAATTGACTCACAAGATGCTATATTTTGTAGCTTTTGCAACAGTAAGCCATCTTTGTTTTATTCATTTCTGAGGATTGAACCTGGACCTCTCATGTGCTAGACAAGCACCTTCCACCATTGAATTAAGTACCCAGCCAGTTTCCCCATTTGTGTGTGTGTGTGTGTGTGTGTGTGTGTGTGTTGCTTGTGGAAACTTGAAGTTGTTGAAATCATTGCTATTAATTGATTTTCCATATTATCTAATTGGGCAGGGGCTCTCAATTAAACCCAGAGCTTTCCCATCGGGTTTGTTTTGGTAGCCATCATACCTGTCTCCACTTTCTGAGACTGGAATTACAGGAGGCCACCATGCCCAGCAGCATTTTATACTGGATTCTGGGAGTAAACTGGTACTGTAGATGCATGTCAAGCACTTTGACTTCTGTGACATCTCTCCTAGCCCCCTGGACCTTTTTATGTTTTTATTGTGAGAAGGCTTAACTAAGTTGGCCAGGCTGGCCTTGAACTTCCTCTAGAGCAGTGACAGCGTTTGAGCTTGTGATCCTCCTGCCTCATCCTCCTTAGTAGCTGGGGTTATAGGTTGTGCCACCAGCATACTGTTAAGATAGTTTAGCCACAGCTAGTTGTGACTTCTATCCCCTCGGAGTTTCCTTTGTCTTACTAGAACTTGTGTCAGATGGCATTGGTGTGGTCATAGGTATTTTTTGAATGTGCCTAAGGAAAATTAAATTAGGGATACATTAGTTTAGGCTTAGGGGAGAATATTTATGTGGTTTGTGAATAGTTATTTCTGGTAGTTCCATTCAGAAATGACTTGGAATGCTTCATTTGTCACTCAGGGTTTTCCCAAGTGAAAGGTCACAGTTGGTGTCACTAAGGGACTATGTTTTATGTGTATGGTAAAAGTGGGCGTTTATGCCATTAACAAAAGGGAAAAATGTCTAAGCATTTGAAGCCAGGGACTAGTCTAAGAAAATGCTACCGGTTATCAGTTGGTAAATTGGTAACACCAGTTTCGGTTTTCACCGATGCCTCATTTACCAGGACAGTCATCCCACTCAGGGGTATATTTGTTATGCGGCACTTATAACTAAGTTTATTTCAATTTCTAATTTTTGGGTGGGGACTGAATCAAGTTGATTTCATCAGAATTACTGTGTTAGGTGGTCATGTAATAGTAAAACAAACAGTGGGAATTTCTATGTGTGAAGATCAATATATGTAACCCGAAGAGGGCAAAGATAAACAGATGTGACTTTGCTCAAAGCTGTTCTCAACATTTGATCACTGGAAGATCTCTGTGATCCTTTGGATGTATTGGCAAAGTAACTCTATTTTCATAGTAACAGTCAAATATTATTTTAATTTTTAATTCTACCTGTCTGAGTCGTATACTGCAAAAATTTTTAACATTCAATGCAGAAGCAGATGAAAGAATCATAGTATCTTCTGCTATATCAAACATGAGATTTCAAGACTAAAACCATTTTCTTGCTGAAGATTTTTTTGAAGTTGAAACACAAAAATGTCAATTTATATGCATATTTGAGCATCTGTAGATACACTGGTGATAAGTCTTTAACCACTGAAGGACTTGGGACGGAATGAATTTCATGATGCATACTTAGGTCTATTATATACTGATGGTCCCAGGTACACATCCCGAGAAGCATTATTAACTTGATGGGGGGTGATTAGGGTTAAGTGATTACTTATATTGTTTGATTATTAAATAAAACTCAGGAGTCAGATATCCGGGTAAAAACCTTATTGATCTGAGTAGTGGTGGAGAAACAACCAGTGACTTCCTCTCTCTCTCCTTCCTCAATCCAGAAAGCCAATGAATCTTTCTAAGCCCCTCCCTACTGCTTCCTGTGCCTCTACGGCTAATTCTGCTCACCTACTAGCTAGCTCTACTGTCTGATTCAAAGAGAACTTTATTGGCAGTCTCAGGATTGTCAAGGTGTGATCGGTATACCCCACAACACTGGGGGCTGGTTCAGTTTCAACCCCGGATGAGAGCAAGGTGTGATCGGTACATCCCACAACACTGGGTCTGGTTCAATTTCAACCCGGATGAAAGCAGTTGTCTGAGTTATAAATTTAAGCAGATTAAGTTCTGCCTTTTATGTGGACAGGGCAGAGAGTATCACACTGGTCTGATTGAGTGCTTTTGTTTGTGATGTTTCCTGTTCTGAGCTGTAAGATGTGAGAAACAAATGCCTCAGTTCCACAGCTTTGACTCTAGGGCCACTCCTGGGCTGACGCTTGTTCGTTGCTATTGTTTGCCATGAATTATCACAAATAACTTGCTTATTGAAAATTAAATTTCTGTTTCTTCTCGGAGTGTGTTGTGAGGTGATTATGTGTAGGCCAGAATTTATCCCCACATCACAAATTATCCTCTCTCTTGGCAGAAATACTTCCCACTTCCAAAGGAAGTTCTAGGCTTAAAGTCATGAAGACATGCTGAGGTAATTTCTGAAGGCATCCAACTTTCTTCCAGCCCCAAAGGAGAAAAAGTCAGTTTTCAAAATATATTTTAATATACATATCTTCCAGGTTTGATGTAGCATACCAAGAATTTCAAAGACAGATTGATCTATTTAATGATGTTTTTGAACTTGACATTCCCTTCATTCAATTTATCTCCTGAAATTTCAAAGAAAATCTCAGGTAAACTAAGAATTCATGCCTCCCGAAACCTTTCACGGTGTCTTAGTATTTTCCATCATGTGATTAATGAAGACGATTCACAAACCTCCAAATGTGGTGTGGGCTAGTCAAAGAGATCTGAAGCAGCTTTGTGAGTTCCTAGAAGAAACAAGGTGATTGATTTTAGAGGCAGGTAAAAACATCCCGTGCTTACACACGATGCGGGAATGCAGATGGGCGGTGTACCCCTGGTGAATTTCAGACTATTACCAGTGGCTCCTTGCAATATTGTGGTGATCCTAAGGCTCATTCCAAGTTGGTTATAGGCCCCATGCGCATGCGTGTGTGTGTGTGTGTGTGTGCGCGCGTGTGCGAGTATGTGTGTTGTGGAAGTTATATCAACAACTGATTGTTTTCTTCTTGGGTTAATACTAGGATTAGTAGCCTAGTAAAACTATTGCTTCATGTGTCTTGATGCCCACGCGCATCGAGAAGGCTCCTTTCCTTGCCTGAGGTCTGTGTTTGTCAGTGCAAAGAACCCCTCCCGGCCATTCTGCTGTTGCCCCTCATGGTGATGAGCAAGGTGTAAGTAGGGACAACTTACTATTCGGTGGGTCTGTCGTGGTTCCCTCCGTGGTGTGTGTGCCCCTGCGCATGCCTGCAGGGGTGCTCATTTCATAGTCGTCATCATCGGTGACCGCAGGAGTTGTGACTTGGCCCTGGGTGGTTCCTTGTATAGCAGGGCTTGTTCCTGCCTGTCTCGTAGGAAGGACTCCATTTTGTGCATCTGGTTTAGCCCCGGTCTGACTGGAGGGCAGAATGCCTCCGGGAAACAAGGGGTGGATAAGGAGGCCTGTGAAGATTTGTGAGGCTAATGGCTGTTATAGGGAAGGAAACAGAAGAAAAGAACTCATTTTAACCAGGTTAACTAATCTTTTTTGTTTAGAGGGAGGACAGCCGGTTGGGATAGGGATGGCCGAAGGGAGAGGCTAAAGTCAAAGACCTGCTGCCCACTGCCGCTGCTTGAGGACCTGCAGCGTTTCTGCTGCTGTAGCTACTCGGGGGTCTGCAGCATTTTACTTAATTCATTACACTATGATGCTACCTCAATTACTTATTTCTGTTGTCATGTTTAGATACCACAGTAGTCCAAATACATGTCTATAAACACGATCTGTGCATACTTGCATAGAAATTATGAGTGAGGATAATAAAAATTTTAATTCTTATTCTTCAGTTATTTGTGTCTATAAGAAGGAATTAACTCATTACTATCAGAATATAGAAAAAAACCCTCTCATAAAATGGAAAGTTCAACAGATTTAATCCTTCCTAAAGAGTCAGTATTTATATTACTTTGTGTCTACATCTGTAGAATAATGTATAATCTTCAATATAAAATTTAAGTTAATCAAAATAAAGTTTAAACGTGTGCAGTGGCCCTCTGGGTTAATACTGAGTCTGATGGCAATATATAGAAAGCTAATGCAAAGTTAAATTAATGGAAACTAGTAGGAGAAAGATGACAAAATCTTTAACTGAGAAAGAATAATCAACTCCAAGGAGCTGTAAAAATGCACAGCCCATGGTAGGAGAAGGTGGGGGAGGGGATGTAATCGAAAGAGCTGGAAGGGCAGAGGACACTAGGAGAAATGAGAAGAATTTAAAATGGTAGTGACTTAAGAGATTTTCTTCTTACCAGTTCTTCTGAGCTTAGGAGAGTACCCTAAAAGCAAAATGACAAATAGAAGCAATTAGAGAACTTTCAATATATTCAATGCAATGTATATAATATAACTCAAAACCTTCAAATACTTCTCAGTATTATAAAGAAATTGGATGATCTGGTATCTGTATCACAAAACTCATGTCAGCATGTGGTTTGAGACTGCTCATGTTTATTATTGAATAATGTGACTTAGCTTTGAAAATCATACATACATACATACATACATATATATAATTAGGTTATAGATCTACATTGGAAAGAATCTGGAGAATACGGAAAGCAACAGAAAAAATAATCCTATGATTTACATATGATGGGTCTTTCCAGGTGTTATTTTACAAATTTATTCTTCATGTAATAGAAACTCATTTATATAGTTATTTTTCTTAGTATTTTGTAACAACCCTTATCTGTGTTATTGCCAAATTGTGATAAATGCAATTTAAATAGCTATGTAATATTTATTTATGGCTATGTTGTAGTTCACTGAATTTTTCTGTTTTGATTTGGTCTTAAATTTAAGTTTTAGCTGTATTTTATACACCACAAATATTATTTAATGAGTATGTGGTACCTAAATCTTTGCTGCACTTCAGAATTTCTTTTCTTGAGATGTAGTCTCAGGCGCATAAAGAGCCAATAGGAGTGGGTGTAGTGAATGACACACTCCTGTAATTCCAGCACTGGAGAGGTTGAGGCAGGAGGATCACAAACTCAAGGACATCCTAATAAGCTATACAGATGCCTGCTTAAACACAAAAGGTTGATTGGGATTTCGTATTAATATTCACCTCTCCTTTTAGGAATGGAGCTGCCATCTGATGTTAATGCTGATACTGCTTTTGGTCCTTGATAATTTTATCAGTGAGCTAAAGAGTAACTTTTGTAAAAACTAATAGGAATAGAAGAAAGTGTTGAGGACTGACAAGAAAGAAAAAAGAGGTTGAGCCTTGTGGGATAAACACATATGGTTAAAATAGATTTGCTATTAAAAATAACCCCCCACATCATGGGTCATCATATTAATCCCACTAAGTTATTTCTTTTTTGACAGTGTGGTTCAGGGGTGACTGGCTGCTTTGTTTACTAAGGGTGTGGCTAGAGGGGTAACCGTATCTCATTTATTTTCAGAGATGCAGTGATGATGTTTACAAGAGATTGTGTCGTTGTTAACGGAAACGGTACCATGAAGGACAGAGAAGTGCACCTGCCAGCCTGCCAGGGCTAGGTAAGTGCTATATCTTGCTATTTTCAGTGCTCAAACAGTGCAAAGTGAGTTAGAATCCTGGTGCTTGATTGGTGAATTGAGACAAGAGAAATACTCTGCACATGGGCAATTGAAAATCACAACAGTCTTACCTGAGCTCCAAGTTGCGCCACAATAATGGGTAACATCTAAAAAATAAAGGGACAAAAATCACTGTTAAAGTTGAATACTAGGGGATGGGTTAGGGGTCCCACTTGCTCAGCCGCCCACACCCACAGTCGAGGTCTGGAAGGTAGATGAGAAGTACTGATAACTGGGTACGAGTTGCTTGCTTGCTGAAATGGATGAGGAGTTGGCATGCTGTGTATTTTCTGCTGCTCCAAAAAAAAAAAAAAAAAGCAAGCTAGCCTAACTTTACAAAAAAGAAACTCAAGTCTTAAGCTTTTATTTTGATTTCCACAGGAAATCCAGTGTCAGAAAAAGTCATCAAAATTGACTTTTGACTTAGTATGTACCACCCTGAAGGATTTGAGTCTGACCGGCTCCTGCTCTTGCCATTTTCCCATTCAGCTGGCACAGCAGTGCCTGTCAGGCCAACAGTGACAGGCACACATCTTTCTATAGTAGTAGTCAGCTCCTTGTCTCCCGGCAGCAAAATATGACAGCAGAGGAACAACGAATCCAAACAACTGTCAGGGTGGGTGTTGTGAAGAAAACCAAATTAAAATCTCCTTTTAATGGAAAACTGGAGCGGAGGGAACAAAAATAAATAAATAAAAAGGGGAACTGGGTGGGTACATAAGTGACCATGATAACGAAATTTAACCTAATTGTTCAGCAGTGTAATTACAAAGGAGATACCTTGTCTCAGCTATTGCTTGGAAGTTGTCTGAAGTAATGACAGCGAACATGAGTGTATTTACTGCGTTGCACAAACTGTTCTAGACACTTATTTTTTTAATTTTTGCAACAGTCAGAGGAAGCCTCTACTTTAATGCCTCTTCTACATTTTGAGGAAGGTGAGTCCTACCTGGCTGAAATAACTCGCCCACACGGCGCCAGCTGTTTACACAGAGAGCTGGTTTTGACTAGCTTTGTGGTTCTGCATCCTTTCTTCCCAAGGTTGGCTTTGGTAGTTAAAGGCTACAAATGTAGGTTTGTGTCAGAGAAAGTGATCCAACTTTATATTGCTTTTCAAACATTTACGTTTCGGCCTGTAAATTAGTACTTCTGTCTGTCATCATCTTTGGTCAGAGAAACCTCTTTATTTATTTATTTATTTATTTTTTGAGAAACCTCTTTATGTCTTATTTATTTATTTATTTAGGTGATGGGTCACAGGTATGGCAAAGACTCAAAACTGATCTAAATGCTGAGACTAGAAAGACCACCGAGTGCTTAGCCCTAGGAGGGACATCTCTACCACAGTGTCAGAGGCTCAGAGGGAAGCAGAGTTGTGGCAAACAGAATGGGAGAGCTGGAGGAAGGGACAGAGTGTTGTGCGGTGCTGTCCTGTGGGAGGGCTGGGCTGTCACACTCTTGAACTCTTAGCTGCTGTGACTACCTGTGCAAGCCCTGCATAAGATGGGAACTGTGAAAATTCTGTCATGGACAGGGGAGGGACCCACGAGGCCCCACCCCTCTCTGAGGATTCAGAGTTAATACTTGCTGGGGTAGCAGAGAGACATCTTCTTTAGTACATAGCTATGGGTAAGTCATTCATGTTTCTTTAAGTGATACTTCACCTGTGCTTTTGTACGTTAACCTAATCAAGCTCATCGATTGCACACAATAAAGGATGTGCAAGAAGAAGGGAGATTAGATAGAAAGAGGAAGGCCAACCACTGGGAGGAGGACGAGAAGAGGGACATGGAAAGAAATGGGAGGTAATTATGATAGAAATACTTCATAGGCATGTATGGGAATGTCATAATGGGACCCATTATTATGTAAAATATATGCTTCTAAAGTTCTTCCAAAAAATTATCCACTCTACATAGGAAGAGGCAGGTTAGAGGGACTGGAGCTAGGCCTGGCCCAGAGACATTGGGGAATTCCCAGCAAGACTGAGGAATCAATGATTTAACATTGCTGCACGTTGGGAAATGTGCAATGTCCGATCTTCTGTACAAACCTTTTATAATATGCTCACTAATGCCTCTGACTCTGAGGAATAAGATGCTGGGCTGAGTCTGTTTCTTTTCTTTTCTTTTTTTTTTAACTTTCTTTTTGTTTTATTGAGAAAAAAAACAATTTCCACCTCCTCCCAGCCTCCCACTCCTCCCCCCCCCCTCCTCTCCCCATCCCCCCACTCCTCTCCCTCTCCCCCCACTCCTCTCCCCCTCCCTCTCAAGTCTGAAGAGCAGTCAGGGTTCCTTGCCCTGTGGAAAGTCCAAAGTCCTCCCCACCCCCATCCTGGTCTAGGAAGGTGAACGTCCAAACTGGCTAGGCTCCCACACAGCCAGAACATGAATTGGTTTCTAGCCTTAAATAAAGGTCAGTGAGTCTATAATTGGATATCCTAAAGAAGCTAAATAAGAAGGTGAACCCAAAGAAAAACATTTAGCTATCCTCTTGGGTAGGGGAAGTAGACAAGATTGCCAGGCATAAATCGGGATCTTAAGGGTGGGGGGGGAGGGGGGTAAGGGGAGATGGGGAGAGAAAAGTGAGAAGGGTAGGATGGGGAGAACTTGGGGCAACGGGATGATTGGGATAAAGGAAGGTTGGATAGGGGAGCAGGGAAGCACATATCTTAATTAAGGGAGCCATCTTAGGGTTGGGAAGAGACTTGGACCTAGAGGGACTACCAGTCTGTTTCTTTTCAAATATATTAATTTTTAAGTCACCATCCTGTGATCTAGTAGATACTAGCATGGCATTTGACCTTCATGTTTTCTTGCTAGGGTGTGGTAATAATTTTCTTATTTTCTGCATTAAGAAATTATGTATATAGCAGCATACTATGCGGTTAGTGAAAATAACACTGTACGCAAGCATTTGAAGGTGTCGAAACAATTCATGCCATTTTGTGTTCATAGAACAAACACCTGCAAACCATCTGCTTACAGTTTATAAGACCCTTGAAGAAGACTGTTTGATCCCATAGCTTCAGCTGAGGGAAAATGTCCTGAGTTCAGGAAGCCCTTCCCTCCGCTTACCTGGGGTTGCAGCTGTTGTGGTCTGCTCAGCGGACCCAGGGTAAAAGGGAGTGTCTGTGCACCATGTGCCAATCCAGTGGTAGGGTTGAGCTGTGGGGCATCAGAGAAGATTTTCATTATATTTCTTTCAGTTTGAACATCTGGGACCCTAAAATATGTCTATTAAAGATAAAATATAGATTTAAAGGAAGAATTTCTTACATAAGTTCATACTATTTTATTGTGTGTGTAATTAATCACAGAGATAAAATTCAGATGTTTAATTTTCTAGCACAGATTTGTTTTTTATGTGTATGCATGTGTGTCAGCATGTGTGTATGTATGTTTGCCTGTATGTAAGTATGTATATGAGTGCAGGTGCCTAAGTAGGGCAGATGAGGGCATTGGGCCACCTGGAGCTGGAGTTCCAGGAATTTGTGAGCTGATGTACACAAGTGCAGGGAACCAAGTCTCTGGTCTTCTACAAGAGCGGTGTGGGGTCTTCTGCCATGCTACAAGTCCTCTGCAAGTGCTCTTAACTACTGAGCCACCTATCAAATTCCTACACTAAACTATAAAGAAAGAAAAAATTAGTATGTACATGTTCATGCTAAGCATGTGTTTGTCGAAGTCAGAGGGCAACTTCGCTGTGTCTGTTTTTTTCTTCCCTATTTATTTGGTTCCTGGGCTTCAAACTCAGATTGTTGGCCTTTTGCTTTTACAAACTGAGCTGCTTGTCTCTGCTTCCCCAGGAATTAGAATTCTTTCTTGTCATCTCTGAGACCATTTAGGTAATTTACCCCCTTCTGTATGCAATAATGGTTATTGGACATTTTCTGATTGCATTTTTCCTTAAGAAGTGAATTATTTCATAGGTATTTCCAGACAAAGTTATGAGATACAGAAAAACATACCGAGTCTGGAGCATGGGTTAATGCTGTATTTCAATATGAACACTGGAAAAGTCATGAGGGAAATGCTTTTCTTCCCCAAACAGATGACTCTTTAAAGATGTTCTGTGAGCAAAGATGTTACTGTCCTGTTGTCACCCTAGAGGGTCACAATAGCAATCATAGTGTTTATGTGGGATGTGGATATAATAGGGGCTGTCAAGGAAGGTCTGGTGCAGAAGCTGGGGCAGGATCTTAGAGAAGAGGTATCAGGATCTGGAGATTAAAAATGAGAATGAGGTCAGTGCTACAGAGGGGCTTGTGAGAAAAGCTTTCGAAGGTTTATTGAGTGGCGCCTGACTCTCTGAATATCCTCCTGCTCCTCTTCCAGCCCATGTGCAGTGAATGTGTGTGCATATGCACTTGTGGACAGACATTTCCATATGTTCTTGACTCTCCTCCATGCTCAGTATCAGGTGCCAGATTAATTAAACCAAAGGTAGTGCGGTGATGTAAGAGAGTACTTACCAATTGCAGGTCTGAACCCCAGGTGAGCAGCTGTGCTAGTGGGATTAGACTTATGGAAGGAAAGATCTGCGGGGCATCGAAACTGGGCATTAGACAAGAGAATATCTCTTTGTACTGCAGCATCAATGGTAGATAGATAGTCTCAGGTAGTTTATACTGCTCCCCAAGGTACAGTCACCATCAGCTCTCTCACTGCTCACCAATGGTCTGCATGAGGCCTCATTGTCTCCTGTGTGGTTCTGGATGGCCTAGTAGTATGCCAAGTTTATGCTATTTATCAACTGATTTATTTATGATTATTATTTAGTTATATTTTTGTCTTAGTACTCACTCAATTCCGCACATAAAGGTTTACATTCTTTTCCCTAAAGAATGTCTCTAATAGTATAAGATACAGGTTCTTTCAGCAGTTAGATTGATTCCACTTGAATGATCTACAGTGTTCAATAACTAAAGAGACAGCTTGAACTTCTAATACTTTTGACTCGTATTTCATAATCTACATGAAGGCAAGGCACGGATGAGTGAGAGCTGGAGTGGCAGGGAACATAGGAGCCAAAACAGTTTTCAAGGTTATTTAAATGTCTCGAGAAAACAGGCTTTATAGCAACAATCAGTTCATTGGTAGTGATGAAACTAAAGAAAATTTTGAGAGGGCACAGGGGAGGTCTCAGTGAATAAAGCACTTGCTGGGCAAACACGAGGACCTGAATTCAGATTCCTAGCGCTCATGTAAACAGCCACATGTGTGATTCCAGGGCTGGAGGTGGAAAAGAGGTATCCCATGGCTGCGCTGGCCTGCCAGTCTAGTCAATAGAGGAGGAGAATAACAGAGGAAGGCCTCCTGAGGTCAGCCTCTTATCTCCACACATGTGCACGCACACACACGCTCTCTCTCTCTCTCTCTCTCTCTCTCTCTCTCTCTCACACACACACACACACACACACACACACACACACACACCACACATATGGCGGGGGTGGGGAACAGGGAGAGGAGCAAAAGAGATTGAGAGAGCCTAGAGATAAGTTGTAGTTATTTTTCTGTACACCTCTTCTGTCATTTTCAGCAAATCAGAGTGTCATAGAATCTCAAGGACACAGTTTTGTAAATAGGCAATACCACCCACTTTCAAAGCTTTCTACATTTAGTTTAGATTTCTAGATTAAAACAAAGTTTGCTCATGTAATTCACATGAATAAAAGGAAAAAGAATGAGGCTGCTTTGCTTTCTTCATTTAAACATCAAAGCAAGTACACTGGCTTTCTTTTCTTACTTATTCCAAAGGGGGGGGGGCGCAATTCTTTTGAGGACTGAGACTGTCAAATCTTGATTTGTAAAAATTTACCAATCTTACTGAGCTCCCAAGGTCCCAATGAGGAGCGGAAGGAGGGAGAAGATGAGCAAGGAAGTCAGGACCACGAGGGGTGCACCCACCCACTGAGACAGTGGGGCTGATCTATTGGGAGCTCACCAAGGCCAGCTGGACTATGACTGAAAAAGCATGGGATAAAACCGGACTGTCTGAACATGGCGAACAATGAGGGCTGATGAGAAGCCAAGGACAATGGCACGGGGTTTTGATCCTACTTCATGTTCTGGCTTTGTGGGAGCCTAGCCAGTTTGGATGTTCACCTTCCTAGACATGGACGGAGGGGGGAGGACTTTGGACTTTCCACAGGGCGGGGAACCCTGACTGTTCTTTTGACTGGAGAGGGAGGGGGAGAGGAGTGGAGGGAGGAGGAGAAGGGTAGGAGGAGGGGGAGGGAAATGGGAAGCTGGGAGGAGGGGGAAACTTTTTTTTCCTTTTCTCAATAAAAAAAATTGTAGTCAAAAAAATTAAAGAAACACAATAATAAAAAAAAATTACCAGTCTTAACATGCTTCCTGTCTTGGTTTGTAAGTTGTTGCTATTTTTGGGTGCTTACCTGATTTGGTTGCTGTTGACTTAACAATGCCACCTGATCTGGAGTTTTTGTTGGAGGAAGTCCCAAAGCAGGGTTAATCTGCTTCTGTGAATATAAATATTTGTTAAAGCAGAAGGGATGTGTTTGAGGTTTTGAATCCTTTTATGTCAGGAAGCTAACAGATTGTCCCTTAAAGAGCTATGTAAATTTAAGCTCCTTGTCTTTTGAGCAGTTTTAAGTCCTCAAATATTTTTTGTTTGGCTGGATTTGGAATCAGAGACTGGAAGACAAGTGAAAAAGTTGGGCATGTGGGATTCCAGTGCTTGTCTCTGGCTCCTGTTTATTTACTGTTTCTCTCCTCTGCTAGGACTTGTGTTATACTCTGAGTCTTAGTTCTGGATACATCTGTTTTTATTTTTCTTGAAACATTTGAATTAAAGTGCAGTTTTTTGAACCTTCCCATGTTTGCCTTGCATGCGACATGTCAGTTTTGCACTGTGCAAAGTCACCTGGTGAGTATCAGAGTCAGTACTGGGACCACTGCAGTGATCTAGTTCCTGAATACAATAAACCCTTCTCTCGGGTCTGGTCCCAGAATGCTTTTGTTGCTGGATGCATCTCAGAGGGAAGGATGGGTGGTCTTCCAGTGATGCCAACTTTTGGACCATATTTTTGACCTTGTTTCAAACATTAAGTCTGCACCGAGAACTTCTTAATAATGCGTTGGTCTTTCATATTTTGTTTCATCCTCTCTATTCATTTTTTTTTCATGGAAAGCTTTACAATCTAAGTTTTTTGCTAAACAATGATTTGATATGTGTAGCCATTGTGAATTCTAGGGGATCATACTCCCTAGCTTTGTTCTCATCGCTGCATTTTAGCAACCAGGACAAGTATGCAATCTGGAGTGTTTCCAAGTAGTCTGTTGGTCGTACAGATGAGTATGGAAGTGCCAAATGAGCTCAAGTGTTTTCTTCTTTCATAGAAAATCTGTTGCATTTTCCCTGTATATCTTAAGCTTCCTGATCAAAGAGAAATCTACTTGGTGATCAAATAGCCTATCTCTATACCTATAAAATAACTTAGAACAACTGAAGTAATAATAGAACACCAGTTCTCCACCCCCAATTAAAAAATCTATTATATGCCAACATGTTTTGTAATGATACATGTTAAGTAAAAACTGTTCGATATTTTATAATGTACATCATATAATTTTATAGCTAAGAGTTTATCCAATTTAGATGTTTTGCTTATCACATAGAAAAATCAGAAAGTGTTGTTTACCCTTTTAGTCATGAACAAATAACTAGTCACCAAAGAAATCTTCATTTTGTTTTGGAAAATAAAATAGTCACTCACTCTGTCTGTCATGTTAACTCTATTACTTTACCCAAACAATTGAAATTCTTCTGTGATAAAATGGATGCATTTAAAAAATGAAAACATTGAAATTTGCATGAACACATTATTAGTTTACCATCTTTTGCTTTGTATAATAAAATCAGAAAACTTAAAAAGTGGGTCACAGATCAGAGTGGTTTTGTTGAAAAGCAGGAAGTGATAAATGTCTGTAAAGGAGACATGGCTGAGCCTGGTCAGTACATAAAGTAAACACATTGCACTTACTGGTAATGACTGAGTTGATCCTAGAAGACAAAACAGTAGAATCGTAGTCTTCATGTTTCGATTTGCTACCTATAAGAACAAAATTGTGTTACTCTTTTTTTTTTAAACCTCTGAGAGAAGATGATGCTAAAAAAATGATCGTTCTACTTGCAATCTGGTCAAGTAATGTTACCTTTATGCTACCAGGCAAAATGATATTCAAAATCCAGATGACTTCTCCACTTTACTCTGGTGCAATATTTATCTTTTGCTGATTTGTGTTTGTAGAAGGAATTTAAGCTCAGCTACAGGAAACAGGCAACTCGAGAGACCAATCAGGGCTAAAAGTATCTATGAAATCATTTGGTTTCACTTCCCAACACTTCATTAGGTGGGTTATTAGCTGCAGACATTGTGTTACCCAATGTCTGTGATTTGACTAGAGGGTATTGTGGAAGACATGCCTGTATAATTTTCAAAAGTGCAGACAACAACAACAACATAAAAGACAATTGTCTTCACTTCCAGATGTTTTGCAAAACATTTCACGAATTTACTGGTTTTGTCATGTAAGAGTGAGTAAATATCTCAAGCACCAAACTATATGGAGCTCTTGCTGTGTTGTACAGAAATAAAGTCTATTACATGTATTTCTTTATAACCTAATTTGTTTCCTTGATTAACATTATGTGTCAGTCAGTGCACATAGATCAGTTTTATTTATTGAAGGTTAAATTGTATTAAACATTTTTCTTGATGTATAGATAATTTATTATTACTTAATTTTTAAAATTATAACCGTGTTACAATGAATATCCTCATAACATATATCTTGTATATATAGCAGTATTTCTGTAGGTGTTACTGCTATAAATATTAAAAAAATTGTACAAGCATCTACAATTTCAATGAATATGGAAAAATTGCCTCTAAGAATTATCGAGTAATTTTCATGATTTCAAATAATTAAAAAGTTGATGTGATATTAGCCAAAGATAGGACTCTGCTGAGGTTTCTTTCACAAGACATACAGTTCACACCTACCTGCAGGCTTCCAGGCCTTGGCTTTCAGACCAGGCCAGATCTACTCACTAATATCTGAAATGAAATCAATAACAAATTCATTTGATGTAATTTTATACTGAAGAACACATGACATCCAGTGTCAATTTTTCTTCAGTACAGAGGGTCTATCGATGGAAAATTGGCTGAGGTGATGAGGTATTGGCCTAAGGTTTTCATCAAACAAAGAACTTTACTCACTTACTGATGACTGTCAGATAATGTTAGGAATGGAGGAACATGCATAAGTGGCTAACAGTAACAGCATGTGTGGTAAGTATAGCAATAGGAGTGTGTGCAAGTGTGAAGGAAAGCTTTTGACAGGGGGCAGGGAAGGCTTTATGGAGGAGGTCACCCTTGAGAGAGTTTTGAAGGATGGAAAGAAATTCATTAAAAAGTAAGAAGAGTGTGGGGAGATGGTTCAGCTGGTAAAGTGCCTGGCATGAAAGCATGAGGACTTGAGTTTGAATCACCAGCCCTCCCAGAAAAGCTGGGCACAGTTTCTTTTGTCTGTACCCCCAGAGGCTGTTGGGCAAGATCTCTGGAGCTTGTTAGTCTACAGTCTAGCGAGTGGGTCAGCTCCAGGTTCAGTGAGAAATCCTGTCTTGAAAAATAAGGTGGAGTGTGATGGAGAATGACATCCCACACTGACTTCTGACCTTGACGTGAATGCACACATGTGCATGCATATCTACATGCATGTGTGCACACCCCATATGAACACACACAGAGGCACACACACGTGCACATGCCCACAGAAGGAAAGAGATAGAATACAATAGGTGGATTTGGAGAATAAATATGAGCAAGACACGGCATGGAAAAAGTTAATACTGAGAGGACTAATGAAACATAAATGCTTCAGGATTTGAAGGGAAGCAAATTATTCGTGTGTGTATGTGTGTGGTATGCCTGTGTGCACTTGTTACCAATGCACAGTTGAATAAGCCACTGAACTGGCTCTTGAAATAAGTTCTTGTTCTTATGTCCTTTCCTTCCCAAGTTTATCTTTTTGTTTTTGAGTAAATTTGTTTATATAAAATTTCTAAAAATTGTGTATGGGTATTTTGCATATATGTGTGTGTGTGTGTCATATGTATGCCTGGTGCCAACAGAGGACAGAAGAGGGAATTAGATCCCCTGGAACTAGATTTACAGATGATTGTGAGGCACCACGTGTATGGGTTGGGAATTGAACCTGGGTTTTCTGGAAGAGAAGTCAGTGCCCTTAACCACTGAGGCGACTCTTCAGCCATAGTTAATTTACTTTTCTAACACATCATGCAACATATTCACTCTATATTTATGAATACTATTTTAGTATCTGGGTATAAAAATCCCCAACTTGCTTGAGCTTGCATTTTGTTGGTAGGATCACTAGATTTTCAAGCAGCTTCATAGTATGTGATAGACCCCCTGGCACTACGTATTCTACCACTCCCAGGCTTTATTTTAGGTGAATTTGCAGATCTTTCCTTAACTGTTTTTGTTTGTTCAGAGGAGTAATTGAGTTTCATGTCATTGCTGTCTCAGGGGTTATGTGGGGAAACCTGTGTCCTATTTCCTGTCTAGAGTATGGCCCCAGTGAACAGTAAATTCAGTTGAATCACTGCCTCTGTCTGGGGTGCAGGTGATTCAGGGACCTCACAGTGAGTGCATTACTTATTTCAGACATACCTCCAACCCTAAGTTGAAACGAGACATGCTCTAGCCAGGAGACTGGATAGTCATGGGATTAGACTAAAACACGCAGGCAACATTATGAGGGCTGAGGAATTTCTTAGACCAGAAAATTTAAGTCTGAAAGCAGATAACTTTCAACAATGTAATTATGGAATTTTGGTATCAAGAAGTACATACTATGAAAGGGGAGAATTTCTAAATTGTACCCAAGCAAGGTACATCAGTGAAAACAGATACTCTTGCGTCTGAAATTGCTTAGATATCAGGATTCATTAAAGGGTTTTATGAACTACAAGTGACAGCGTTTAGCCTTAAAGGTCTAGGCATTTCATGATTCTTTTTTTTAAATTAATTTTAGTTTTATGTTTTTTTGGGTTATGGGCCCTTTGAAACCCATTTAGTCTGTGTCCCACTTTATTACAGAAATACATATATGACAATGAACATAATGCATACCAAACAGTGACAAGGGTTTCATAGATCTAAGAGCATAACAATGAAGACATAAGTTCTGATTTAAAGAAAACTTGATGGAATTCTGGTGTGGCTTGTGCAATCCCTGAACTTTATAGCAGTTTTCAGTCGTGAAATATCTTCTCTCTCCAACTCCACCATACTCACTGCATACAGGAAAACCTGGAATTATCCAAGATATGGTCGAGAAAGACCAGTCCAAAAGGAGCTGTTCAGCAGTGAGAGGAAAGGTAGACTGGAAATCCTTTCATCAACATCACAAGTATGCCAGACTCATGATTGCTATCGATTATGATGATTGAACAAGTTAAGTATATTAATAATTGGAAATTATGACCAGCATTTGTTAATATATTATAAGTAGGGTGACATTTATTAAACAGGAAACAAATTGCACATGTCCTAGGTACCAAATTATTGGGAGAAAATTCATCTTTACATTTTTGTATGAAACCCAGCAAATATCCAAGAACCATAAAATGTATGTACCACAAAAGATCAGCAAATATCTGGAGTGCACATTAATCTTATATTTCTGCATTTGTTTATGTTCCCCTCTACTTGGAGTCCTCCTCCCCATTCCTTTTGCTTGTCACCAAATATCCTCCTTGATTCTAGCACCTTCATAAAGGCATTCTTTGTTGTCCTTATTTGGAGTCAATGTCTTTCTTTTCTTAGGTCCTACAGAAATATATGACTTTCTTATGTTATTCTACTTTCATAGATACTAATTTTTTATCTTTTGAGATATTAGATTTCAAGGAACACTCCAAGTCCTTTTTCTTCAGAAAGAAAAGGGTTTAGTTCATATTATGGGTTGCAGTCCATCTTCAAGAGAAACCAAACCAGAGCTTAGGACAGAAGCCTGCAGCCAGGCAGAAACCACGGAGGAATGCTGCCTACTGGATTGAGTTCTATAGCTTGCTTATCTTGTTCTGTTTGTACATCACCCACATCAATCATTAATCAAGAAAATATCAAAAAAAAAGAAGAGAAAAGGAAATATCTTACAGATCTGTCCATGGGCCAATCTGATGGAGGCAGTTCCTCAGTTGAGCTTCCTTCTTCCCAGGTGACTCTGGTTTGTGTCAAGTTGGCAGTAAATTAACCAGCACAGACCTTGTGTCAACGAACAAAAAGAGGTCCACTGGAATAGCACAGAGGGTGAAGCTCTGCAAGCCTGATGACCCGAGCTCAAGCCCTGGAATCCACACACGTAGAAGGAGAACCAACTCTATAGGGTTGTCCTCTGACAACATGCCATGGCGTGTGCGTGACCCCACACAGTAATAATAAATTAACACTTAAAACTCTTTTTTAATACCAAAAGTGTCAATTTTAGTGTGAAGCTTCAATTTCCATTCTGAATATTTATTCTTTTTTTTATTAATTTTATTGAGTGATACATTTTTCTCTGCTCCCCTTCCTGCCTCACCCCTCCCCTTCAGCCCTCTCCCATGGTCCCCATGCTCCCAATTTACTCAGGAGATCTTGTCTTTTTCTACTTTCCATGTAAAATAGATCCATTATGTTTCTCTTAGGGTCCTCAGTGTTGTCTAGGTTCTCTGGGATTGTGATTTGTAGGCTGGTTTTCTTTGCTTTATGTTTAAAACCACTTATGACTGAGTACATGTGATAATTGTCTTTCTGGGTCTGGGTTACCTCACTCAAAATGATGTTTTCTAGATCCATCCATTTGCCTGCAAATTTCAAGATGTCACTTTTCCCCCTGCTGTGTAGTACTCTATTGTGTAAATGTACCACATTTTCTTTATCCATTCTTCGGTCGAGGGGCATTTAGGTTGTTTCCAGGTTCTGGCTATGAGAAACAATGCTGCTATGAACACATGTCCTAG